AGATGACCTAGAGAGGACATAAGAAGATGTACAGGGACCAGAGTTTGAGAGAGCAGGTATTTCAGTGAGGTTCACCCACAAAGGCTCTCCCATGGACTGTGGTTTTCACAGAGCTTATTTAAGATAATGTATCTACCATACTCTCTGAAATTTCTGCAAGGGAAGTTGAATCTAGTCATCAGAGGATTTCTTCAGGAGAAGAGATAAAAGAGTAGAAAAGATATACTGGTGGTTTACTAGTCACTCTGGGTAGTTAATTGGTTAAATAGCAAGGAAGACAACAGAATCAATGGTTTATTTAGTCCATCAGTAAGAGACTCTAGACTTCAGATTTATCTTAGAGTAATTTAAACTTTTCCTACATGTCCATGACATTAAAATGTCCAAAGCTACTTATCTTGTTCTAATTTTCACCTGATATTTTTCCTGATGTTTTCAGGATTATAGAATGTGTATAACATGATTATGCAATCCTTCAATTTTTTTTTTTTTTTTTTTTTTTGAGACGGAGTTTAGCTCCTGTTACCCAGGCTGGAGTGCAATGGCGTGATCTCAGCTCACTGCCACCTCCACCTCCTGGGTTCAGGCAATTCTCCTGCCTCAGCCTCCCGAGTAGCTGGGATTACAGGTACGCGCCACCATGCCCAGCTAATTTGTTGTATTTTTAGTAGAGACGGGGTTTCACCATGTTGACCAGGATGGTCTCAATCTGTTGACCTCGTGATCCATCCGCCTCGGCCTCCCAAAGTGCTGGGATTACAGGCTTGAACCACCGCGCCCATCCACAATCCTTCAATTTAACATACTCGGAGGAGGAGTGAATAATAAACTTTGGTAACATCCCTTCGTTCATACTATTTTTTGTCTTGCATTTCTGTTAAACATACATATTTAGGATTCGCTCGGATTTTTAACCACTATATTCCAACGCTAATTATAGTCTCTTACTTACTGGCAATAGAAGGCTAATGTGGTAGTGTTCTTAAGGATTCAGGAATTTTATTCAAAAGCATTTTGAGCTCCATTTGCCTTTGATGTTAGCGTCCAGTTTCTGAAATTTGCCCAGATCGGCGAAGGGGATGGGGGTGTGGTCTTACTATTTCCTGAAGCTCAGATGCCACAGCAGAGTCCTTTTAGAGACATCTTGATTCTATTAGAATTTGCAGGTCAAAGGGCAGGTCCAACTGGCCTGGTAGTTGAAAGCACCAGGGATAGAGTGAATAGACTACTGTAATAACTTGAAGTTAGATTTCTGCTGCTACCTACTCATTATGCTAGTAATGTGCATGTTGGTCATGCAGGGGGCGATTACTAACCACTTTGAAAGGTTTTGCGTCCACATTTTTATTTAACTGTGGAAAAGAAAGGAACAGAACACAGAGAATAATTTGACAGGAAGAGCATTATAGTTCTTATTTTGCCCTGGGCTTGTGGCATACATTTATTACCGTTCACATTTTACGTGCTTGTATTACTCCCTAGGGACTCATGGGAATGAGGTCAGAATGTGCTACACTAGCAAGTCTCCTCTTTGTGGATAGTCTTTAGTTAGTAAAGCTCTTAAAGTCAGTGATTAATTCCCTTTAAGGTTCAATTTATTTAAATCAGTATTAGAATAGGTGATCTCAAACCATTGACTCATATTAAAAGAAGTTATAAAAAGGACTTATTTCTGGTAATTTTTATTTTCTTTATAGTTCTTTGTATCTTTCAGTTTTTCTTCAATGACTGTGTACTACTTTTATCAGATAATACTTTTTTTTTCAAAGAAGCAATTATATTGAGGAGACAGCTACTAAAATAAGATTCTTTTTTAATTTGCTTTTTTTTCCCACTGAATTCCATTCCCTCTGAAAAGCAGAGTATTTTTAACAAAATTTTTGAGTTTAGACACTCTCAAGTGTGCCATGTAAAACTTCATCATGTAAGTTCAACTATACCATATGGTCCTTTCTATGAGATGTATTAAAGGAACAACAACTTTTTCCTATTCCCTAAAAGTCATGGCTGTTGTTACTGTTTACTAGCTTTCACATTCTTGCCTATCTTCCAAATTTTTTCCAAGAAGTTATTCTCCCTCACAGTATCCACTTCACATGCCAAAATGGTAACCAAGAGAACAATATTGTCTTAGTCCTTTTTGGAAAATGAAAGAAAAACCTAAAAGCTAGTATACCTATCGAAGATAGACATTACTCAGAATTTATATGATTATATTTATAATATATAACCAAAACATTTTATTCTCTTGACTGTGAATTGCCCTTCTTAGGCACCTACACATGTAGAAATCAATATTGGGAGTATACATTTTAAATGGAAAGGACAAAGACATGATAATCCGTTGGGGAATTTTTAGAGGATGAGAGCCGTGGCCATAGAGAAAATTTGATTCTGTACACTCCATAGCATATTATGGCTTAGTAAAAAATAGCATCAATGAAATAAAATCTCTATTTGAATTGCATAAAAGATATTTCAAATTATGTATCTTTTTTTTATTATATATCTTATTAAAAAGACATTATTCCAGTGGCTCAGACTCCAATGCCACATTCTTTAAAACTTTGAAATTAGAAATCTAAATTGTCATGTGTTATATGGTGATTTGCAAATTTGACATTTTACCCCAGAGATTAACTGTACCACACTAGCTGGCCAATCATACCATTTATGAGAGTTTGGAATGCAGTCAAGAAGCTTCAACAATATGGAATCATTTTTACTATGTCATATTATGATGTTTTAAGCACAAAATAGCCCTCACCGATCACCTTTGTAGTTTGCATTCAGCAAAGGTGCTGATATTTCAATCTAATTAGATAGTCATTTATCTGTCATTCATCTTCTGCTGCTGATAGTTCAGTCTAATTAGATAAAGTAATTCATTTGTCATTCATCTTCTTCTGCTTGCCTGCTACTATATGTATGATTCTGACTATTGGTGCATAGAAATGTAGCACCCTCATTGGGAAAGCATGCTTCTTATTCCAACTTTGTCAGTCTTTGAGCTTCCCGAAAGGGAACAGATGACCACAATCAACAGGAAACTGCATAGTTAGACCATCTTGAACTCTTTCACCTTTGAGCTTGTTTCACCACTTAACATATTTTTTTCAAGTGGTCAGTGGATATATTTAGACTGTCATTATCCCTTTAGCTTTGACTGGATCCTCGTAGTATAAGTTGCCTGCCATTTCTTAGAATTGCATAGTGTGGGGACAGTGCATTGAGAATCTTCTCTCCTCTTCCAGCAGCAAAACTAGTGAAACAAATCTTTATTTCCTTAATGTAAACTGAGTATACACCTTCCATTTGTTAGTATTGCTTTCAGAGTTGAGTATACCTACGCATCCAGAATAAAGAATATCCATTAGAATATTCAGTAGATAGTCTTTCAGTTTGTGGCTGAACTAAAACTCTTCCATATGACTGCTATTGAAGCTCAATTATCTTAACAAAAGACAGAAGCAAGGATAAACTTGGGCAATGCTTCTCAGATTCAGCATTTCCTCAGGTCAAAAGCTCAGGCCACTTATATAGTTCCTATAAATCAAATATGTCTTCTTTCATAAAAGATGAGCTACTGAGAAATACATTTTAGATTATGAAACTAATTGTTCAACAACTTCATTCTGATTATTTTGTAAATTTCTTACATCAGCCTCCCCACTAAGTTCACCTTTTTTTCCTTTTGGACATAAACCATAAAGTAATTATTAGCTAAACCACAAGGAATCAGTAAAGTTTAAATTACTGTTTCAAAATGTGCAGATCATTGCCAATAAAGCCACAACTGCAAACTTAATTGCATTGATGAGATTAAAAGAATGATTCATGTTCATAATGCTCCAGGAATAGATGGCTCTGTTTCTATATCCACTGTATTAAAGTTTGCAATTTGTTGTACACTGTATGCATGAAAATGCTTTCAGCGTCAGTAATGCCTTCGTTTGTTTGGAAGCTACAGAATAATTATCAAAGGAATAAGTTAAATGGATAAAGCATGTAAGTGACAAGATTAAGAACAAAAAGAAAGTAACTTTTTTTACTTTTTAAGTTCACCTACAACTATATCTAAGAACTCTTTTTTTTAAAAATATGAAATACTAGGTTCTTACTAATATAGTTTTTTTTGAGGTTAACAATTTTATTTTTTGAGATAGGGTCTGACTTTGTTAACCCCACTGGAGTGCGGTTGCACCATCTCAACTCACTGCAACCCGCTTCCCAGGCTCAAGAGATTCTCCTACCTTAGCCTCCCGAATAATGAGTAGCTGGGACCATAGGCATGTGCCACCACGCCCAGCTAATTTTTGGGCGGTCTTTCGTAGATACGGGGTTTTGCCATATTGCCCAAGCTGGTCTCAAACTCCTGGCCTCAAGTGATCCACCCACCTTGCTTTCCTGAAGTGCTGGGATTACAGGCATGGGTCACCGTGCCTGGCCTAAATATTTTTTAAACTTTATTTTATTGTAGTAGGAAGACTTAACATGGGATAAACCCTCTTATTCACTTAAGTGTATAATACATTATTGTTAATTATAGAAAGAATGTCATACAGAAGATCTCTAGAATTTACTCATCCTACATAACTTAGGCTTTACGCCCATTGATTAGCAACTCCCCATTTTCCCCTCTCTCCTCTCCCTTATGACCACCATTCTACTCTCTGTTCACATGAGTTTGACTATTTTAGATACCTCATGTAAATGGAAACATGCAGTATTTGTCTTTCTGTGACTGGCTTATTTCACTTAGCATAATATAGGGGAACTTTTTGAGGTAGCAATATAACATGATAAAGACATTTAGAGTCAGAATAGCCTGAACAGGATTCTTGGTTGCACCATTTACTACAAGTGTGAACTTGGGCAAGCTGTGTAAACTCTTAAAGTCTTGGTTTTATCACCCTGAAAATGGAGGTAATGATAATAGTAACTTCAAAGAATTGTTAGAAGGTGTAAATCACACTGTTGGCATTTTCTTTCTTTTGTAGGCAAGAGGCTCTTCTGGCTGCCATTAGTGAAAAAGATGCCAATATAGCCCTCTTGGAGCTTTCATCCTCTAAGAAAAAGACCCAAGAGGAAGTGGCTGCACTGAAGCGGGAGAAGGATCGTCTAGTACAGCAACTTAAGCAGCAGGTATTATTAAATGCCAGGAGGAGGGTCGGTGGGGTCAGCTTTCACAGCATTCTCTACACAGGTCTTTGCCAACTTGTACTTTAAGGTCTCATGTTTCATATTAGACATCTGATAATTAGATCTAGTTAATTTCCATCATCAGAGACTTTATCTCCACAAATCTGTGGCTGTGTCTAGGAAATGCAGATTATTTTTGGTAAGAGGGCTATTTTGGACAATGTCACACAGGTCTTCTATGAGGATGTTTTTAAACTTTGTACAGTGGATTGTAGAAATCAGTGAAATTAGCCCATTTGACATGAAAAGGCTTTTTTTTTTTTTTGACATCCAATGATTTCTGTGACAGCAGGTACTAAGGATATTTTCATTAAAAGATTTTCAGTTATTCAGGATTAGGTAAGCTCTGAAGATAAGAACAAAGGGTTGGCCCTTTTCTTTTCCAGCCTAAATGCTCTCAAAATTTAATGCTTAATATTCATGTAATAACTTTTGTTTGTCAAAATAAAAGCTTAAAGTGTCCCCTTTGATGATGGTTGCACAACAGTATGAATGTACCTAATACACAAAACGGTCAGTTTAAAAATGGTTACAATGATAACATTTTATGTTAGACATATTTTTACCACAATAAAAAAAAATGGGGAAAAACATTTCCCTTTGAAAATAAGGAGAGTGCCGGCTGTTTACTTCAGAGCCCTGCTTGGACTTCAGTGCTCTTCATTGAGTGCTCCTGGCTGTGCGCAGCGTCCGCATCCCAGCCTCTGTGACCATACCCTGCATTCCTGGTCACGTTGTCTTTACATTTTGGCTGCCCAGGTGTGCTCTTTTCCCTCAAGTAATGAGACCAAGAAAGAGCTTTTCAAGTGAATAAATTCTTTTTTTTCTATATTTGGAGGTCAGTCACCAATTGATGGTATTTTGGCATATGTTTATATTAACAAGAATCAGTATTTAAACAACGAAGTTATTTTCTCTGTGGGTCAAATTAAAACTGCTTAGAAATAGACTTTATATGTATTTATGTTGCACACTTTGCGAGAAAATACCAAAAGATTTTCCTTTTCTGCAGGATGGCTAGCTGACTAGCAAAAAGTAACCCATTGCTCATTCACAGGTGAAAGAAAACTTTTCCAGGGTCCTAAAATACTTTTTAATAAGAAGAGGACATCATCTAATATTTTGACTACCTGTTATATAAAATAGGAAGAATGTCCTTATTATTAAAGACATCTGTCCAGTAGTTGGAAACTGAAATTTGGCTTAGCAATATCAGTTAAATAGTTAGTCTTGAATACATAGGCATATGATTTAAGCAGTTTATGATCCTTTTACTTAAGACACCGGCTAGAATAGAATATCCAGCAGACCAGAATACCATACCTCATTTGTAGTGGTTTTTGATTACTGGTCTCTGAAGACTGTATGTTTTCATTATATGAAAATTAAGGAAATTGGCCGGGCATAGTGACTCACACCTGTAATTCCAGCACTTTGGGAGGCTGAGGCCAGCAGATCACGAGGTCAGGAGATTGAGATCATCCTGGCCAACATGGTGAAACCCCATCTCTATCAAAACTAAAAAAATTAGCTGGGTGTGGTGGCACACACCTGTAGTGCCATCTACTTGGGAGGCTGAGGCAGGAGAATCTTGAGCCCAGGAGGTGGAGGTTGCAGTGAGCTGAGATCACACCACGATGCTCTAGCCTGGTAACAGAGCAAGACTCCATCTCAACAAAAAAAAGAAAAGAAAATGTTAAAAATTAATTAATCTATGAGCTTATAATCTTAGAAGGAAGTACCTAAAAAAATTCTCAGTGTCTTTATATCAGATTAAATGGCTTGAATTTTCTGTAGTGATGTGCCCTTTATAAAGAGAAAAATAATAACAGTTCTCAGGAGTCCTTCCTCTAGTCTTCTCCTGTCTCCCTTTCACGTTCCTGCCCTTTCAAAATGTATCTGGATGCTGTGAGCAAGAAGGAAGGAAGGAGTCTTGCCAAAGGCATTTGATTCCTTAATTCCTCCAAGAGTGTGTACTAACTTTTGGACAAGGGAGCAGCCTTTTGGAAAGAGGATATGGTATCAATGTTGTTTTAATTTAAAGCTTCTAGTACTTGAATTGCTGGAATGTGCCTCAATCTAAAGGCTATTTCCTAACAGGGAAGCAGTCAGCATTGACCAGGCTTTCCAGCAAATGGAGCTGCCTGATAGGCTCTTGGCATTCACATGTGATTCCTATCGTCAGAAAGAGGTGAAGCAATGAGGGATATATAGATTTGGGGGTCACCTTCTAATATGGTCCCAATTTACTTATCCCCTCTCACCACCCCCCACCCTGCCCCCTGCAGGGTAACTTCTTGACTCATTCATGGCAAAGCAGCACTTGGAAAGGCTGCATCAGAGGAAGGGGCCAGGGACAATGAAAAAAATAAAAACTAAAGGTTGTCTAACAAACTCCAGATGTTCTGTGGTGGGTGCCAACCAGTGTGTTTAGACCTTAAGTCATGAAGAAGAACCCCTGCTGTGATTGTCAAGCCCCCGCACGAGATTTAACGTAAACTCAGATAGAACCCTGGAAAGCATTAATACAATCTGTTTAGTCACAGCAGCTGTCACAAGATGGCCTTTCTATCAGCATTATTTTCTTCTTTTCACCTCCAGAATTTTACAACCTCCATATTGTATTGGTTGCTAGTGTGAAATCTTGCTTTGCCCTTATGCGCTCTACACAGTTGTGTCATAGGCAGGCTGGGCTTTGCAAGACAGGCTAGGATTTTTTTTTCTGTTTTTAAGCATCAGCTATACAGTATAAAAGTAAAGGCTACAAACTTAAACTGGTTTGGTTTGAATCTGGTTAATCTCATTTACAACTGCAATTTTGTAATCCTCTACATCAGAATTAATTTTCATACAATATATTATTTGATTCCAGTCTTTTATAGGCATGAGGGATAAAAGGCACAGTACTGGTCTTAAAGGAACTCAGGCTAATGCATAAAACATTGGTTGTTCTAGACATTTGGCAGAACCATTCTGTATTAGTCCATTTTCACACTTCTCTAAAGAACTACCTGAGACTGGGTAATTTATAAAGAAAAGAGGTTTACTTGACTCACAGATCCACATGGCGGGGGGAGGCCTCAGGAAACTTACAATCATGGCACTCAGGCTAATGCATAAAACATTGGTTGTTCTAGACATTTGGCAGAACCATTCTGTATTAGTCCATTTTCACACTTCTCTAAAGAACTACCTGAGACTGGGTAATTTATAAAGAAAAGAGGTTTACTTGACTCACAGATCCACATGGCGGGGGGAGGCCTCAGGAAACTTACAATCATGGCACAAGTTGAAGGGAAAGCTAAGCACATCTTACATGATGGCAGGAGAGAGAGTGCGATCAAGCAGGGAACTGCCACACACTTTTAAACCATCAGATCTTATGAGAACTCACCATCTCGACAACAGCAAAGTGGATATCTGCCACCAGTGTCCAGTCACCTCCCACCAGGCCACTCCCTTGACACATGGGTATTACAATTCAAGGTGAGATGTGGGTGGGGACACAGAGCCGAATCATATCACATTCTGTAGATGGTAGTCCTGGCCTTCCCATCTTTTTGTACTGACAGCTTTAGCAGGTCATCCAAACATTATGTAACTTATTTACCCATTTACTTCAGATTCAGCCCACAGAGTTGGTGTGAAATTAAATAAGATAGCAAATCTAAAGTGCTTAGAATCCCCATTTCCGTTCCCTGTCACTGATAGCCCTGTTCACAGTGAGAACTGTGGCATAGGTGACACATGGTACATTGTACATTGAGAGAGGGGTCGTCTCTGTAAATATGGCCCTCATTCTTGGTTGTCTCTAACAACTTTATTTAATGTGCAGACCAACATAGTGTTCAGAATTACACAACTAGCACATGGTGTTCCACTTCTCTCAGGAAAAATATATTTCTCAGGGCAGTTAGGAAAAAGAGTAGAGGTACTTTTTATCCTTCCTGTTTTCCCACTTGTTCTTTTTAATGATATGGCTTTAATATAGAATTTTAAAAAATAATTCTAAATTCTAATATGTCTTTCTTAAATCTTACATTTTTATCACTGAAGAACATTTAAATGCCCATCTGCCTGAAGTCCTCAAGTTTAGGAAAATGATAACTCCCAAGCATACACTCCATCTCACTTGCCTTCTAGTTCTGTGATTTTCCCCGTGTTACCTCTCTGTTCCATTTATCCCTGAGTAGTATAACTTTCCAGAATTCTGTGAAAATAAAGCAGTGACAGTAATGGCCACCATGTACCATTTGACTGTAGCATGTGGGGCACAAGGGCTTTCTATCACAGGATCTTCCCTACAAGTCTGGATAGTATCTTCATTATGTAGAGGAAGCACTTCAGACCACAATAAAAAGGTTAAATTGTGGCTAAATTTCCACAAATTATAGAAATAGTGGGCCCAGAATAGAATTGATTCTCTTCTTACTGTTCCTCTCTTATGTGAAGATTCCAGACAGTTAGCAATTAGATCGTATTAGAATTAGAATAATACACACAATGCTATTTTATGTTTTTATGATACTCATTTGTTCCCCTGAAAGATAGAAAAGGGTACTCTAAGAACCAGAAACAAAAAAGAAATGGTGTGATTTGTTTTCCTTTTCACTGTTCCAGGCTGAGCATCACATTACTGTACACGCAGTCTTTCTCTAGACCTCCCAGCACTACTTTCTTGAGATTACATCAGGTGATCCAGTTGGTGTTGGGAATGACCCCATATTCTTCAGTCAAGTATTTCCATAGAGTAGTTTTCTACTGTGTTATGTGTATTTTACTTGTTTAATCCTCCCAAGACTGCTTTATTTCCCTAATCGCTAAGTTCTTGTTGGAAAGAGTATTTCACTGTTGCCCCAAGTACTTTCAGTAGGTATAGTATGAAAAAATACCTGAATCCAGTGAATAATATTTTGAGTAACTGTCTTTTATTAACTTCTGTC